CAATCACTTACGTGGAACCGAACAATTATAAATCATATCTATGTATTTCCATTTTGTATCCTATTATTTTTATGCAGGCAGTGGAGCCGTTCTTCAGGTGTGATTGAATTTCACCATTACCTTTGAAGTAGATTCTTCTTTACTTTTTACTTGAGGGCGACTCAAGAGGCAGGTGAGTAAACACCTGATAGCCGGTCTGAGCATGGAAAAATCGTACCTCACCAACATGGTGTTGGGTAGCCCGCTCGCGGCACTTCCTCAGATATTCTTATTCCACATTCTCACACTCTTTCTCTTGAAAGCACACAGTAAACCGTCAGCGATAGTTGTAGAATAGATCACATGCTACAAAATAAGATGACAAGCTAGTAAATGAAGAGACATCCATGGACTATCGTTGACAGCGTTAGTCGTCTTTGGTTGTAAGTCAAATAGTGAGCGAGTTGATAATTTTCCTTTGGGATGAGAAATAGAACTAAGGTGTTTTCGATAGATAGGTTAATCGAACGGATGTTCCTACGGAAGTCGATTCTAGGGGAAGCTAATGTAACAGCTCAGGTTGGTTGGTTAAAAGTTGACCCCAAACAACCAAGCTTATGCCAAAACAGTATTGTTCAAGTATTCATTCACTTCCTTATTCTTTATAAGCGTTATATTCCCTATTATCTTGAATGTTGAGAGCCTTTGTTTGTCTGAACAGATAATCCCACGCTCCACTGTGACTGTGCGAAGATTGAAATAAAGACCTATTCACTACTTGTCTGGTTTCTTCTATCAATAGCACGAGGGTTACTTCAAGGCACGAAATACCTGCCTGGACACCGACCATGACCTAGTACAGGCACGCATCTGCTTGCGCCTCACTGAACGCAAAAAAGCCACACCTAGAAGACCCATTAGAACTGAATTCAGTAGCGAGGAAACCAAAAGTAGATTCCAGGAACAACTGAGGTCAGACTTAGGTAGTTCTGAAAACGAGGCTGACCCATATGTTGCTTGGAAAGATATACAAGCAGCTGTGGAAACAACAGTGACATCTATCAGTGATTTAAACCACGGGGTTATAAAGAACTAACGGATTTCTTCAAGGTCTATTGCACTGATGGATTCTCACAAATTCATCCCATCAGGTTCTGGACACGATGAAGAGTGTAAACAAATCAGATCTAGGTTAAGCAAAAGTTTAAGAAACGACCATGCGCAGTTGTGGGCAACGAACGCAAAAGAGATGGAAAAGGCGGCGGCGGTTATAGGGAATACAAGACAGCTCTAAAGACTAATAAAAGAAACTGGAATTAATAAGCCAAGGGTAAGAGAGACTATTTTGGAAAAAGACGACACCCTCATCTGCTCCCAGTCCAGACGTTTAGAACGATGGGCGAAACACTTTAGAACATAGGTTAGCTAGCCTTCAGCTACTCTACAACTACCCCCATCCCCAGACAGTGTGAATGGAACATTGAAGTAGGTCTCCCAACTCTAGCTGATGTTCAGTAGGCTATAGTCAATCTGGAACGAGGAAGGTCAGCTGGCCCAAATGGATTGGCTCCACAGGTCTTTAAGTATAGTGATCCAATTTTAGTGATTAGGTTGACTGATATTTTAGCTAAGATCTGGGAGTTAGACATTATCCCATCTAACTGGTCACAATCACTTATCGTCCCAATATATAATAGAGGGTTAAAATCATCCTGTAACAACCATAGAGGGATTAGTTTAACTAATATAGTATCTAAAATACTAGCCTCGATAATTATCACACGTCTAATTAAGACCAATGAACAGCAAACACGAGAGAATCAAGCTGGCTTCAGACCTGGTCGTGGCTGCATCGACCACATATTCACCATTCATCAGGTTCTAGAACATAGGCATACTTCTCGGCGTCTGACAATGGTGGTCTTTCTTGACTTGAAAGCAGCATTTGACTCGGTAGACCGCGAGATTCTGTGGCAGTGTCTGTCATTGAAAGGCGTACCTCAGAAGTACATAAGCCTTGTGAAGGCTCTTTACTCGAACACTACTAGTCGAGTCAGAGCTTATGGCGAACTGTCATCTGCTTTTGCAACCTCAAGTGGTGACTGCCAAAGCTGTCCACTTTTTCCATTTCTGTTTAACTTAATCATAGACCTGTTGATGGAAATAACATTCTCGTCGATTGAATTCTCGGGTATTGATCTCCATCCAGGAGGTCCACTTATCGACTTAGAATACGCAGATGATATAGTCCTGTTTGGTGAAGACGCTGATAAAATGCAGTCTTCTGGTAGCACTAAACAACAATGCCAGAATGTTTGGAATGCTCTTCTCTCCCTCTAGATGCAAGTTGTTGCTTCAGGACTGGTCTGCGTCAACACCTGAACTAAGGATAGGGAGTGAAGTATTCGAACGCATTGACAACTTCATTTATCTTGGAAGTCTGATCAGCCATAATGGGTTGGTGTCCAACGAAATCTCAGCACGGATTCGAAAAGTTCGTTTGACTTTTGCCAACTTACGTCACCTTTGGCAAAGGAGAGACATTCGTCTATCAATTAAGAGACGGGTATACTGTGCAGCAGTTCGTTCTGTTTTACGGCTGCGAACCGCGGCCACTAAGAGTAGATACTCGTTATCTACTAGTGTTTGATGACAGATGTTTTAGAAATATTGCTCACATCTGCTAGGATCACTGGGCAAGTAATAGTGAGGTTAGATGCAGGGCACTAGGGAAGGATGGTAAATCAGTTGATAAGGTTGTAAATCTTCATCGACTGAGATAGTTGGGCCACTTGTTGCGTATGCCTGAACGCCGACTACCACGGCGCGCAATGCTGACTAGTATTGGAGATGGTTGGAAGAAAGTTAGGAGCGGTCAAACCAAAACGTGGCATCAGTACTTGAAGTCACCAACTTCTAGTCTGAGCCATGTTGGTAGATGCAGACTACTTGGTTGGGGTCCACGTGACTATCGTAAACAGTGGTTGGAGACTCTTGGTGACATGGCTCAGAATCGATCACAATGGCGTAGGTGTATACACTCTCTGCCTTCCCTTAAACTAAGAGATTAAAATCGCTCCATATCTTTCCTTCTACGAACTAACTATTTCTTCCTGTACTATATCCTTATATGCAATCTTTCTTTTATATATTACCACCTCTGAATTAACTACTTTTATAAATCCGGTGTCCATCTTGTTGTGTTAATGAGGTATGACAACTTGGACCGATGCATATATGTGCCTGATCCTACGTTGTAGCTGACTGACTGACTGAGATTAACTTTATGGGTTTATGTGTTACACCTGCGGTGTATCTGGTCCCTAGAATCTTTTTATATAAACATGTGACAGTTTTTGCCTATACGTGAAGCGATCATCCGCCTGTTATTGGCTATATTCATGGTTTTGTTATGGCACGTCGATACTTATGAAACGGTGCATCTAGTAAGATGGACTCAAGTAGGCTGCTGCAGTATAGTAAGGCCTGGTGCTACACGCGAGTGACCAAATAGAACACTAACGACTGCAACGAAACCGTAGACGAAACGAAGCAACACTCTGAACCAGATGGTATCCGTCATGGGTTACAAAAACAGCAGAAATAAAATATATACTGATTAGTAGTTATGACAACTCCGCACATCCATTTTGTGGAACAACTTACAACTACAAATTGACATGGTGGTTAGTGGATTCCAGATCTATCTCAGTGTTCATATGGCGTTCCGACGATCTTAGGATTTGGGAGATAAAATTACCCTAAGGCATTCTTACTGCTCAACCAAACTTAAGTGGAGAAGGTGATAGGACTAATGTTGACTTATGTCAACGATGATAATGATAAACTGACCTCGTGCTTTCCAAGTGATTCTAGTTTCATATATTCTATCATAGAAAAGGACAAAGGTATTGCTCACTGTGACACATTGAATGTTTCGTGCCACTGACATTCTACAGAACATTAAGCAAATACTACTACAAAACGTTTTTTAGAATCCTAAACAATTAAAGACGACGTTCAACAATCACATAAGACATAATCTACTAAACTTTTCCTCTATATTCCATTACTATAAGTAGAATAACACTTTCATCAACCATTACACAAATAAACAGGGAAAAATCACTCTTGTTAAACTCAGGAAAAATAAATTTACAACCTTGGCAGTAAAGAGTGACAGGAGGGTACAATGCTCTTAACTTTCTTCACCATAACATATGATTACAACCTTTTAGGTGTAAAACACAGAAGGGCAAACAAAACGAAAGATAAGAAAGTTTTGTGGTGAAATTATGCAGATGGAATAATCTCTCTCCTGATGAAACAGTGTTAGAACAGTATATAGAGATCTACATAAGACGGCTTGGAATCTACCTTAAAGATGTAACGGATATTCAGGATTCGGCTTCACTGTTGTGTGTAACATCTTTACAACCGAGGGTCTCAAACACCGTCAAGCTAGAAATCGGAAAAGAAGGTCCAGATAAATATTTCGAAAATGGTTGATGAGTTGTGAAATACATGATACAAGCTGACTAATTGTTGCGGGATGTGGGTAGCATGGTGTACCCAATTGTGATCTGGTGTGCGCCTCAAGCCAAGGTTTGTTCAGTAAAACCTATGAGTTCAGCATCAATATCGAAGGCTGATATGTGAGTTATTTTCATTCTTCTATTCCTATCTAAATCCCTGTTTATCACACAACCTCATTTGATGTCTCAAATAACTTCATAATACAATCTTTTCTGTCTGCCTATAGAAGTATACCAACCATACGGCTACAAATGCAAATTTTCAACCTTAGTAGATGAGTTCGAAAGGAAAATTTTCTTCCCCGAATTTTTACTCAAATAACTGTTTCGGATACTAATTTGCTGTCACAACTTCACTTCCAGATGAACAGTGAGGAAAGCCATTTAAGGTGTTTTTCCTTTATTGTTTCAGATCAAAATAAAAACCACATCTTTCCATATACAATTTCAATTTTTATCTTATGGTTTTGAGGCTTGACTTGTGAACGAAGGTTCGCGCGTCCTTCATGGGTAGTCCGATCAGGACCGTCTGTTTTTATCTCGTATTTGCTTCCCGCTTAGTAAGTTAAAATTAGCATATTTTACATTTTCATCCATGCCTAGCCTGTGTATAAAATGTAATTTATAGACTACTACAAGATTCTGCCCCTGCCCAGCCTTTAAGGTGGGTTTTGTGGGAATTCTTTCATGCATGATATGAAAGTGACTGAAGCAGTATATTTTGTTTGTAAATTTTCTCATTATTGTAATCAAACTCGTGTTGCTTATGGCGATTAGTCTACTACTGTTCATTTTGAATGGCACAAATTTGTTAAATATATACTTTAGTATTATGTTGCAGATCTAGTTTCGTGATTATCTGATAGGTTTGTTGGAATGAACACTTGACCACTAGGAGCACTATTTTTGTACTGGTTGATAACAATATCGAAATTTGGTAGATTTCCTGCCTTCTACATATCCATTTTCCGTCTTGTTCGATTAATATACATATTTTGAAGGATTTATAAAACATTGAACGAATCCAATTGCTTTGGTTCTGATTCTGAAGATACTTTATTTTTCTTAGGGACGTTTTGTATGAGAATATAGCTACAGCGTCATTTTAGTGAGTAACGGTGCCGCTTTCGGTCAAGTATTTCTTAGTAATTTAATCACTTATACAATTAGTTTGTGACATTGTCTTACTACTTAAACCAGCCCAATAGGCTTTTTCACTATCAATCGAGGTATTCTTCTAGACACTAATGTTTTAGTTCGCTTTATTGTCTTATATCAGTCAGTCATGATTAACGTAGGACCTAGTACAAATATGCATTATCCTAAATTGACACATCATATCGGTACAGAGTGATAAGACTAACAAATTATTCGGAGTAATAGCACCGATATAGTAAAGCTACATGAAAAATATGGGTAATAAGCTTTTCTGTATCCTTGTAGAGTTTCAATAAAATGGTTTTTACTATCATACCTGTTAGTGTCATCTCTTCGTGCTAATGTATTGTGGCAACTCGAGCTGACGAACATTTGTTCCGGACTCGATTGATTATGACTGACTAAATGTTAATCTCACACTCATTTCACTCTACCCTGAAGTAGCTGCCACCTTGACGTGGTGGTCGAGCTTGGCCGTCTTACTAGATGTAGAGAAGCCACAGCAATTAAACCCCTTAGAGCTAAACTTAATGGTAAAAAAGTTAAGAATATATTTTAGGAATAATTGAAGAATGAGCTAGTCAATCATAAAATTGATATTCGTCCCGAGGAAGCTTGGTATGATAAACGAAAAGCTATGGGAACATCAGTGATATCTACCAGTAACTTAAACCAAAAGGTTGGGAGAAATCAGTGGACAACTGTTTAGACTCATCAAGGAAACGGGTATTAAAATACAGGTTGCTAGCGAAACCATCTCAAAGAAATGGGACTATCTTTCACTCTCAATCCAGGAAACTGAACTGATGGGCAGAACACTTTGGGAACAGTTCAGTCGGCCTTCAGCCACACATCACTTACCCACAATCTCCAGGCAACATGAATGGTAAACACTTAGTAAAGTTGAAAACGCTATAAGCAATCCAAAGCGAGGGAAAGCATCATGGTCTGATGGACTAACCCTTGAGGTTTTTAAGGATGGTGGTTCAGTTTCAGTAGTTAGATTAACTGGGATCTAAAGTAAAATTTAGGAACTGGACTTTATCTTGATCACTTATCGTCCCAGTTTATAAGAAAGGAAAAAAATTACAGGAATTAGTTTATCTGATAGTATCTAAGGTATTAGCCTCACTGATACTTTGATGTCTAATTGGAGCTCGTGAAGAGCAAACTCAAGAAAACAAGGCCGGTTTCAGACCATATATTCACCCTTCGGCAGATCCTGGAACATAGATACATTTATTGACGTTCGACTGTAGTTATATTCTTTGACCTTAAGACAGCATTCGACTATGTCGATCGTGAGGTTTTATGGTAGTGTCTGTCATTGAAAGGTGTACCAAAGAAGCACATTAACCTTGTACAGGCTCTCTACTCGAATACTACTAATCGAGTCAGAGCTTATGACGAACTATTTTTGAAATTAGTTTCTTAAAGTGTTGTTCGTCAGGGTTGTCCATTCTCTCCACTTTTACTTGACTTTGTCATAGATATGGTTTTAGAGATAACACTCATCATCTGTATTTCCAAGGGTTGGCCTTCGACCAGGAGATTCACTTGTTAACTTAGAATACGCAGATGATATAATTCTGTTTGATGAAGACACCAACAAAATACAAAGTCTTCTGACCATCTTAAGCAACAATGCAAACATGTTTGAGATTGGATTGTCTTTCTTTGATTACAAAATGCTACTTGAAGCTTGACTTGTGTCAGAGCCCGAATTGATGACAAGGAGTGAAGTATTTGAGTCTCATCAATACTGATGGTCTGGTGTCTGATGGAATCTCAGCACGCATCCAGAAGGCTTGAGTGGCTTTTGTCAACTTGCGTCATTTATGGCGTAGGCGAGATATCCGTCTATCAACCAAAGGACGGGTTTACTGCGCAGCAGTTCGTCCCGTCCCACTTTATGGCGGTGAAACATGGCCGGTAAGAGTAGAGGATATTCGTAGGTTACTAGTGTTGGATCATAGGTGTCTTCAAAACATTGCTCGTATATCCTGGGACCACCGAGTAAGTAATACAGTTGTTAGGAAACGGGTACTAGGTAAGGATGGCAAATCAATTGATGAAGTATTGAAATTTCATCAGTTGAGATGGCTGGGACACGTGTTACGTATGCCCAACCATCGAATGCCCTAACGTGCGATGGTTTCTGGTGTAGAAGTAGGTTGGAAGAAAGCTAGGGGCGGCCAGACCAAAACGTGGCACAAATCCATGAAATCACTGACAAGTGAACTGAGCCATGTTGGTAGGTGTAGACTACCTGGTAGAGACTCGCGAGACGATAGCAACCGATGGTTAGAGACCCTAAATGACATGGCTCGAAACCGTTTACAATGACACAGGTGCATCCACTCTTTGTGTTCTTCCAAATTCTAATCTCTTGATTCCTCCTTGTTTTTTTTCTCTTTCCAAATTTATTTCACTGGATTATACTCTTTAAATAACATCTCCAAACCCTAATCTTCCCGATTACTGCTTATACTCTTATTACCTCTACCACTACGGGATTTGAATCGACAACTGCATCTCTGTGCTAATGTGGTGTGGCAACTCGAACTGATGTACGTACGTACGAAGTTCTACGTTGCTGGTGACTGACTGACTGACGTATCTTCGATGCCTATTCTTTCCCATTACCTCTGATATTATTATTACTCCTATTATTCCGGGATTTAGCCCGACAACATCTATCTGTGCTAATGGGGTATAGGGACTTGGACCGATGTACATAAGTACACGTTCTGCGTTGTGGCTGACTGCCTTTAGGTTTTTCAAATTGCGAAATTTCATTTAGGATTGCACTTTGTCGTAAATAGTTCATTTTTATAATCTTTATGACTAAAATGTATTTACATTTATTCTTCATTCAACTAATCGTCTCAAAGTTAAATTTATGTTAAGCTAATATTTCACGCAGTAATTTTATTAAATGTTAGGTGATATAGCAATAAATAATTAGAATGATACCAGTTCATTCACTATACTGTATCGATCATACCGTGGTTGGGGAGATCATTTTTTAATGAGTAGCATTATCTTTGCCATTATGGGCTTTTGTATTCAATTTCATTCACCCTTATTTCAAACAAATTCCTATTTTAGGAAGTGTAAAACTAGTATGCCAGTTTCGTGTTGCAGATGTCAGTCAAAGGGTTATATTAAACGCCCGAAAACCGTATATGTCTTTTGAATTATTTTTCAACTTGACTTATATAGAGTGATATTATGTGTAAAGAATGTTTTTCTTGGTGTTTCGAAGAAGAAATACATTGGACAATTGTAAATGCCAAGCTTATTAGTCGTGGTGATAAAATTGCTATTGGTGCCTCTGGTGGTAAAGGTAAACATAATCATAGATTTCCTTTTATTAATCGATGAAGAAATAGAGATATTTAAGCTAAAAAAATTTCTCAGTTGAAATCACGAGTTGATCTAAACTGGGCCAACATCAGAAACTTAAAAGCACTAGGCGGCCGTTTCGTCTTATCATGGGGCTCCTCACCGGTGCGCACCCACGATCCCTCATGCGTGACTCGAGCTCAGAACTTGCGGTTTTGCGCGTGAACGCCTAACTTATGGACATTTTCGTTGGCCTAAGCTGTACGGTTGCATTGTATTTTTTTATTGTATTGTTTACTAAAAATAGTAGTAATATGTGGTAAAATAGAATGGTGTTGAATAAATTTTAAGAAAATGATTTAGCATCTTTTTGTAAGTTCACGAAAATCTCATATTGATAGGAAGGTGTGCAATGATCCAACTGTTAATAGAAAATATCAAGGTGAAGATAATTGTCTACTTGATAAATATTAGGAATAGAACAATTGGCTGTTGTAGTGATAGCTGATTATTAGTTTCTAAAAATAATTAGGTGTAGAAAAATAAAGCAAAGGAAGTCTATATAAATGTATATATTTTTGTATTTTTAGATTCTACCGTATTAGCTTACATACTAAACTTGTTAAATAAAAGATATGATTATGGAGCGGAATTGCTTCTTTTATCTATTGATGAAGGTATAAGTGGATATAGAGATGACTCATTAATGGTAAGGTTTGTTTTATTTTTAGTTAAAATATTTGCAATATAATGATTTTTTAGACTGTTCAGCGAAATCAGATCCAATATGGACTTCCGTTAAAAATTCTTTCTTATCAGGTAGATTCTCTCCTTCACAGTCTAAACGATTTTTAGGATTTGTACGGATGGTCAATGGATGATATTGTGAAGCATATTGGGAATAAACGAAATTGTAGTTGATGCACTAGTGTTTTTGTTTATTGAAAAAATTTGGTAGGTACTTACTGTGGGATATTTCGCCGCCAGGCTTTGGACAAAGGTGCACTACTTCTTGGAGCTAACAAAATATGTACTGGTCATAACGCTGATGATATTGCAGAGACAGTGTTAATGAATAGTAAGTTACAACTGCTCGGTTTAAATATGTGTTTTGGTTTGCTGAGAGTTTTATATGCTTTTTATGGGATTTTATGTGCTGAATTGAAACAGAAACAGTTTTCTCATTTTCCCTTTTTTGCTTACAGTTCTACGAGGTGATATTGGTCGATTAAAACGATGTACAGCTATAATGACAGTAAGTAATGGAAAAACTAGGAGTTTTCAAGTTAATTTTACTCATACAAATATATTTAGGGTACAGATGATATACTTCCTCGTTTTAAACCTTTTAAATATGCTTACGAAAAGGAGATTGTCATGTATGCACATATGCATAAATTGGATTATTTTTCAACTGAATGTAAATACGCACCACAAGCTTATCGGTAAGTAGTGGTATTTTATCGTGTTTTTTATTATTTAGAGGGCATGTAAGAGCGTTTATCAAGGATTTGGAGAGAATACGACCTAGGACTATCATAGGTGGGTTGCTTTCTGTTAGAGTGGAATTCACCTTATTTGATTTAGATATTATAGCATCCGGTGAACGTATGGCTATTCGAAGTGATGTAAAGATGCCTCAGAAAAGTATGTCTTCACTTTCAAATAAAAACATTGTACTCATTCTATTAGTGTATGCAAATCAAATGCGTGTCAGCCTTTTATCATCATTTCAGCACTAATATAACCTGTGCTACTCCTATTTCGATTGTCACAGCCTTGTAGTATCTGTAATCCGTCCATAATAAGTGTCACTCGTAGTTTACTAAACTAAACCATACGCGGTTATTGAGTTGCTATTCATTATGTGTCTAAAATACATATTTTAGATACCAACTCTTGAGCTTCAGTATGGGCGTTTAGTGTACAAGATTTACTATGACTAGAAAAAAACCCAACTAATGTCACACAATCGGATTATTTATAGTATAGTGAATTGGGTATAGATGATTTGTTGCGTTGATCCCAACATTTATAGTTAGTTATGCGTTATATTTTTTTAACGATTGCCAGTTTGATCAGTTCTTATCTAGTATCTGTACTGACCATAATTAACAACATCTTAATATGAAATGACCTATCGAATGGTATTATGAATATTTTATTACTTTCTATCTATTTCGCATATTCTGATAAGTTACTTTATTCCTTTTTAGTATTCTAAATTTGATGATTTGTGCTTAACTAATTTTGTTTTAGACAGTTAAAACTTAGTTTTATATTTCAAGCCTAGTCTTAATATTTTACTATTTATTTTTTTCCACTAACCGATTTAATTTTAAAGCTAAGTTTAAGTGAGAATGCTAAAGAAAAACAATATTCTGTTTATGATAATGCAAAAATATTTGGTACATATTTCTTACGATTGATATCCAAAATTCTACTTCGGTTTTAATCTATGTTGATATCTAGTTTGACAATAAGGAGTGAATTATTTGAACACATAGATCATTTCAATCACCACTTTTGGTGGCTTGATGTCAGGCAAAATCTTTGTACATGAGTACAAAGGTCTTGTTTGACTTCTACTAACTAATGCTGTTTATAGTTCGGGTTAGATGTCTTTTTCTTTATCACCTGATAAGTATGCTGTGCGTCTAGATCACACTTTATTGGGTACATGTTCTTTTCATTTTATATGACTTACACAAATCTCTGCAAATCAGCTACTTAAAAATTTGTTTATTTTGGTTTCTTTCGTGTTTAGGTACTTGTGAAAAGTGTGGATGCATTTCAAGTCAGCTTATATGTCAGGCATGCATTCTCCTAGAACAGCTTAATTCCGGTTTACCACAGATAACCATAAAAGATACCGAACAGCATTCTCAAATTGACTAGTCGGGCGATACCAATTTTTCTAAAAATTTTATATTATATATCAGATATTGTAAATATATTCCTACTTGGATAGTGGTTCTTATAAGTGGAAATTCTTACTTTAAGAGTGTCAAATTGGTGTTGTATGTTTTGAATTTTTCATGTATAAAGTAATGGAAGTAAATACTGTTCTTGTAAGTATTCTTGAACAAATTGATTGTTCTTTCACTTTTGTTACTATCACATGAATAGAAAGATAGACAACATAGGAGTTGACCCATAGGTGTATTGATTCCTTTCAGTACATCTCAAACCTACACAACGATTAGAAACTAACTAACAAGATTAAACATATTGGATAAAAGCACCAATAACAGTGAAAACCTGAAATTAAAAAGTCTGAAGAATGAATAAAATGTGTGGAATGCTATGCTTTTCAACTTTAAAGGAATAGAAGCAATGAATGCATTCACATTATTATGTTCGGTTTTCAGCCATATCTCTAATGACGAAAATTATTAGTTCTAAAATGTAGTAAGTACCGGTTGATTAAAAGTAGGTCATATTTACTACAAAATAGATCTTAGTAAAAATCAATAAAGATTAGTGCTAATTAGATCAATTTTGAAGTCAATTCTATCACCATTAAAGTTAGTAAACGACCGTACGAGTACAAGTAAGTACCTTGATATTTCCTCCACACATAGTTCTGGCTTCAACTCTGAAAGATTCGACAGTTTCGGATTCGTTTTCACATAGTATTACTATTAAGTATTCCAAACAGTTTTGTTATAACAAATCATCTTGGGATAGTTCTCGTCATCAGTTAACTTATATTTGAGAACCATTCGAAAAAAGACAAACCGGCTGTTCACTAGTGTTACGGCTGAGAACCGTTCGTGAGCAACTATCTATTAATTAAACGTATTGCTATAGCTCAACAACTAGATACTGAGCCTATTATGTCTAAGTTTTTGGCACTCAATTCTTAAATATGAGTTACTGAAAAATTACAAGGTAGACTTGTGGTATTTCAAAGGATTAATGAATCTACGCGTAGGTGGAATTTTTAGTTATATGAATTTCAATTGGCAAGGGAAAGATCGATCCAGAAGTAGGCAGATAATTCCACAAGTATGAAATTGAAACAAAAACTAAGTGTACATATGTTAGCAAGCTATCTGAGCTATAAATGTAACATAAAGGGTATGTGTACGAACGTAAAAAATAACGTGAATAAGTTTTCTTTATTCAGACAGGTGAGAGGGATTGGATTTTTAAAGTAATTATGTCACTAAAAATAGTACAAAGGGAGATTTGTACTTGAATTAACGTGTTTTGAACACCCAGTTTTCTCTCTGTAACATTTATGAAGTTACTTCGGCATTTTGAAATATGTGGATAATATATAATAACAAACTAAGCGTCTCGTGATTATCGTATTTACGATATGATTTTCAACATAAAATTGTTCTTAAAATACAGATCAAGTTTTTCTATCTTGTTGTCTCATTTAACTCGAATTCACTGATATACTTGTTGATTGAGGTACTACGGTGCCAAATAATTCAGTTGAGGAACGCTAAGTCTTGAATCTAACGAAGAAGTAGTACATGTACTGCACTGCAAAAACGGTTTGGTATTCAATATCTCCAGCTGTATTCTTTTAGACACAAATTTCCAAAAGTAGGAATAGGTTGGAAAACCTGTGATTTACAATCAGTATATTCCCACCCGGATCTTGCTTTCACTAAAAGGGCTCAAATTGGTGAACATGTGAAATAAAAAGTTGCTACAGAAAGTCTGTGTAGCCAGTCCCAATCACAATTACTTTATGCTTTGAGATTAGGATTCTGGGATATTAGGATATTCATTATAAATCCAGTTAAATGTGCGTCCTCATGAAGAAGTACTCTTCCTAAGACTTAGGTCCAACTGATTTCGTCATCCCTTTTGTCTCAAAATATTTCTCATATGTTTTCCAACGTGTCATTTGACCAAATTTTCCGACCCCAAAAATTAAACATGGGAGCGCTTGTTCTCTTTGAGAAATGGAATGATACAATTAAAATAAATGTATTTTCCCCTTAATGTAGTTTTTCAGTATGTCTATCATCATAACATTGTAACTTCACTTAACAACACGTCCAGAATACAATCAAAATGTCACACTGAACGGAGTTTGCACCTGTTACCCTGGCCGAAATTCATGATGAATTGATACCAAAGATATTGACCTAAATAATGTCATTTTCTTATCACATCATATCACTGCTTATTAATAAAAAAGGGAAAATACGTTCGTGTTTTGGTAAAAAGTAAACAAGAGAGAATTTCTGCCAGATTTGTCAGTTATTATTGAAAAGTAGTTGTGATCAGCACAACAAACAATGGCCATGATTTATCTGAATAGAACCTGAGTTACTAGTGCTTTTCTTTATTGATTAAAACCAGTCCTAGAATCATTATAAACTATGGAACTCTGGACACCTGTTGATTCTAGCTTATCATTTCTATTTGTGCTTACTTAATAACTAGCTTTAAACCAACTAGCAAAAATGACACGTTCACATACCCAAATACAAATCTAATAATTTACATGTTCAGCTAAAGTCAATCAGAGATATATTTAACCATCTCTTGATTTAAACGGAGTTTTTTTCTCTGAGCTAAATAGTTTGGTCGTGGAACTTTAGATAGAAGTTTGTACCGATGATGTTGTTCAGAATAGTGAAAGCTTTGCGACCAAACCATCCGGCTTACAGAACAAAACTCCACCTCATTCATCTACACGAGCTACAAGACCTTTCCACAATCTCAGCTGCAAGTAACAATAATTACAGATGTCCAGTGAAGGTAAGTGTGTTAAACGATTTGAAGATCCGATTAGCCTTTTCTAAAATTGTAAAGCAGGTGACCCTGCTGAGAAAGATTCTTTTGCACTCACATTTGTCAAGATACATATTTTAGTCAATTTTTACGATTGTTCACACTACAATAAACTTATGCAGCGTGTACTGAACAAGAGTACTTTTTCCAGTTTACATAAACAGGATTCCATAAGTATATAGTGTAAGGGAAAATATCAATCAAACCAAAATTAAAATATTTGATCTAAAAGCCCATTTTTCGGTGCTTCTTGGACGGTAAAATGTTAGTTAAGCTGACATGCTTAATTCTCCTTACTACTCAAATGGAAATATAACATTCGTGTAAGTCTAACTATTATTATCGTAAACAGTATAAAAGTTGATCACGAGTAGTATTAGTAGTCGATATAGATGAATATTTCACTTAAGATAAACAAATGGAACAATTTTAACGCTTCATTTATTTGGGTGTTGTCTTCGATGCCTTATTTCCTCCAAAAATAAATAATTTTTTTCTTTCTTCGTTAAAAATAAACGTACACATATACACACACAGGATAAATCAATAAATGGGCGAGATCATTTTTAAGGTCATTTATGATAATATTATCTACAATAGTCTGGACGAGGATAATTTTTGTTGTTGTTGTTGTAGAGAATTGGATTATATTTCGAATTTTGGGCGATTTCATTTAGTATTTAATAAAATAATTGATAGGGTTTATTTCAGTTCAACATAAACTGAGAAATTTTGATGAACCAAGAATCATTAATCGGTTGTTTTATTTCTAAGTTTCTATTCAGTGTTGAATCTATATCTCTCTATGTGGTCTATCGTGAGTGAAGAATTGTGATTTTTTGGTCTAGTAGCTTTCAATGCTTAGTTTATCTTATTAGTTTTTGTCATAGACTGATATTATATGTAAAGATTTACTCACAGACAGTACTATATATGGACGACTGAATACTGGGTCGGTGTTCTTGGATCTAATGAAAACTAAGAATAAATTTTAAAAAAAATTCCACAAACATCCATATTTAACATAAATTATTTGTTTAAAAATCTGGAATGTTCTTACTGATCCTTCTATATTACTGATTCATTGATTTTTAGCTTACACATTAATACAATTTTATCAACATTAAAATTGCCAAAAAAGATGAATAAGTTTGAAATAAAGATTTTGAAAAAAATTCATGGTTCGTTCATTGAGGTGAACATACAACATACTAGTAATAACTAATAGTATTGCATGTTTAGTACAATATTGTAGTCGCATGAATTTTTCTTAGTTGTTTTCAATATGACACGGTTGAGATCTCTATAAGAAATGCAATAAACTAGTTTCCAATGTCAACATAATGACACAGTATTAATAATAATTGTTATATCTTGTTCCTTGTGCCTCTAACACTGTATGACGTAATAATGCCACCAATTAGAGAACAGTGAATTATCAACTGGACCAATGACGCATAAAGCCCGTACGAGCAGTCTATAAAAATAATAGTAATAAACTTTGTACGACGATTCACCATCTTGCGAGGTTCTCTGTAATTCATGACTGAATGATTGATAATAGTGATTTTGATAATAAGTTTACAATTTACAAAGAAACTATTGAGTTTTAGTTTGAATATATTTTTTATGGCTTAGAAGCTATTCAAATAATGTAATATTCTGATTCCAACTTGCATTCTATTCAATAATTTCATTGACTATAAATATGAATATCTATATGGTGTATATATTTAATGACGTTATAACTATAGTTAAAACTATTCGGTTTAAGTTGTCAAAAGAGAATTCAAATCTGTAATTCAACACTTACAACTGAATGAAATACCTATTATGTATGGATTTTCCAAAAAAAGATTTTTTTTATCTCGTTCGAAATTATCCCAATTATGCTTCAAAATGTATTTATTTATTTGAACACATAAGTATTGGTACAAGGGGGTACCAGATATATATGCGCCACACAAAAATAGCCAGCCCTATTTGTTGTCCGATCTGCGTTAGAGTGTGAACGTTAAAGGAAGCCAGTTTGAATGGTGAACGTGGTTTCAGGAAAACTGTTTTAGTATTCGTATTCGATGGTAGCATTCAATTTTCAACCAGACAGTGACTTGGGATCGTTTAGATAGAACAAAATTTCCACCATAAGGTGAGAATGGAAGAGGATGGATAAGTGACATAGTACAAAAAAATAAAAGTGAATGTTTTCAAATGGGTATCGGTTATTTGAATTTTAATAGGTGTGCGAGTAGTATTTCACCGTCATTTCATTTTAATTGTGTGAGGGCTAT